GTAGGGAAGCTTGGTTGGCTGACGGATCTCACCCAAAGCCAGCTGATGCCGACCCTGGATATTCTGCGTGGTTCTCTGAAAACTGTGCCATTCTTGGATGGTTATTTGGCTCAATGGAGCCCTCTGTTTGCAGGATCCACCAGTTTCATAGCTCTGTTCCGAAGCTATGGAGCGCATTATCAGAGATGTATTCTCAGTCAGGACGGGGAGTTCGTGTTTATGAGCTTTCTCAGGAGCTCTCATATGCTCGGCAGGGAGATATGACCGTTCAGGATTATTATGGCTATTTGACCCAGCGCTGGCTTGAGTATGAGTCTCTACGTCCTCTTGCTGCTATTCCGAAGATAGAGCCCGAGGGAGCAGCATTCTTGCATACTCGAGAGCAGGAGGATAGGATTCACAAGTTCCTTATGGGGCTTCGTGATGAGTTTGAGGGACCTCGTTCTCAGATCTTGTCGATGTTGACACTTCCTTCTCTTTATGAGGTGTATGGGATGATTGAGCAGCATGAGCGTCGAGTCCGTATTGCATCACTTCCAGTTGCAGCTTTGACTCCTTCGATTGACCAGATGGCCCTTGCAGCTGCTGTAGGGTCCCGTTCAGGATCCTTAGTCAGGGATGGGCAACGCTCAGACCAGCGCCGTCAGGGCGCCCCAGATCAGCGCAGACGGGGGGATTCCCGTCAATGTGATTATTGTGGCCGACCAGGACATCTCAGGGCTACTTGCTGGAAGCTCCATCCAGAGCTTAAGCCACCTTCTCGCAGCCGTACTGTTGCTATTGCTGAGGTACCACCGCCCACTACCGCCACTCCTGCTACTGCTCCTCCTTGGCAAAGTGATATGGATGCTATCACTTCCCGATTAGATATACTTATGTCTGCTCTGACTTCTCAGAGTCTGACTACTGCTGCTGTCACCACTACAGGTATATCTCGTGCCTTTCACGCTTGTGCCAGTTCATCTCCTTTGGATGTTGGACTCGGGTGCGAATGGTCACATGACAGGTGAGGCCCATCACTTCACCACTTTTGACGAGCCGTTACATACACAGGTTCAGTTAGCAGATGGAACACATGCCCCTATTGTTAGTAGGGGTACAGTCCGTCTCCCAGATGGCCTTACATTACATTCGGTTTTTCATGCGCCAAAGTTGGCCATGAATCTATTATCTGTACATCAGTTAGCCAGAGATTTTCACTGTGCGGTTATATTCTTATCTGATTCGTGTTATTTGCAGGACCTGAGTACCAGGAGGATTATTATCAAGGGACATGAGAAAGATGGACTGTATTATCTTGGCAATCCATCTCCAGTTTCACCAATTCCTTCACCTGCACCTGCTTTGTCTTTTTCTGTTCCTAGCTTGCATGCTAGTATTTTACCTAGTAGTTGTCGTTATGATTTTTCGTCACAAACTGTTCAATTGTGGCATGACCGTTTTGGACATACAAATTTTAAATATTTATGTATGTTGTTTCCTGCTTTGAGTAATGCTTGTGTTGGTGGTAAACTTGATTGCGTTATCTGTTCTCTATCAAACATGTTAGGGCCAATTATATTCCTCGCATGCACCAGTCACCCAAGCCATTTGACCTAATACACTCTGATATTTGGGGACCTTCTCCCGTTACTGCTCTGTCAGGTGCCAGATATTATGTGACATTTATAGATGATCATACCCGTTGTACTTGGGTCTACCTTTTGCATAGGAAGTCTGATGTGCTCCCTATAATCACTCAGTTTTTACAGATGATTAAGACACAATTCGATGTCATTGTTCGTGCTCTTCGTTCGGATAATGCCAAAGAATATGTGTCTGATGCTTTAGTGTCTCACCTTTCTTCTCAGGGTATCCTTCAGCAACTCACTTGTCCATATACTCCTGAGCAAAATGGTGTTGCTGAGAGGAAAAATAGGAGTTTGATAGGGATGGTACGTTGTCTGCTTAGAGGCATGAGGGTACCAAAATCTTATTGGCATTTTGCTGTTTTGACTTCTACCTTTCTGTGCAATCGTACGCCGAGTCGTGTTCTTCAGCATAAGGCTCCCTTACAGGTCTTATTTCCTGAGCGGACACTTTTTCCGGTCCCCCCTCGTGTTTTTGGATGCACATGTTTTGTTCAGGATCGGTCTCCTACTCGTCATAAACTTGATGATAAAGCGATTCGTTGTATCTTTGTGGGCTATTGTCATCAATCTAAGGGGTATCGATGTTATGATCCTATTAGGCGTCGTATGTATCACAGTCTAGATGTTACCTTTCTTGAGCATATTCCTTATTTTCCTTTCAGTCCTTTGTCTGCCCCTCCAGTTGATGATACTCCCTTTGATTTTCCATTACCACAAGAGTCAGAGTCATTGATCACTATCCCTACAGGGTCATTCGTTTTTCCTCCAAATGAGTCACTCATCCCTGTCAGTACAGAGTTACCAGTCTCTCTTCCTTTGCAGGTGTATGCTCGTTGTCCTCGCTCTCATCACCCTGCTGATATCCCCTCTACCTCAGGCGATGCAGGTAATACTTCTCAGTTTGTTGAGCATATTGATGCACCTGTTGTTAGTACTGATGAGATTACAGGTGCTGAGCCAGTTACTTTACCTGATAAGATATTATCAGTAGAGGATGGTGATTTAGGGCGTCGTTATCCAAGGCGTGATCGCCGTCCAGTTGATCGATATGGTTGGACCGCCAAGATTTTATATCCGATCTCTGCTTATGTTTCTTATGGTAATCTGTCTCCCACATTTCGAGCTTATACTATGGCCTTATCAGATACGCTGGTTCCTCGCTCTATTTCGGAAGCTATGCGGGAGCCCCAGTGGGTTCTTGCCATGCAGACAGAGATGGACGCTCTTCAGCGTAATCATACATGGGATCTTGTCTCCTTACCTTCAGGGGTGAAGCCTGTTGGCTGTCGCTGGGTTTACACCCTGAAGTTTCTTGCAGATGGTACTATTGATCGTTACAAGGCTAGACTTGTGGCGAAGGGCTTTACTCAGGTACCAGGTCGTGATTTTGGTGCTACATTTGCCCCCGTGGCAAAATTGACTACTGTTCGGTTAATTATTTCTCTGGCTGCGGAGTACTCTTGGCCTCTTCATCAATTAGATGTGAAGAATGCGTTTCTTCACGGTGATCTGGACGAGATTATTTATATGGATGCACCACCGGGCTTTCGTGGTGAGGGAGAGTATGCTGGAAAGGTATGTCGACTGCGTAAGTCTCTTTATGGACTGAAACAGTCGCCACGAGCCTGGTTCTCTCGCTTCAGTGATGTAGTCATACGATTGGGGTTCACCAGGTGTCATTCTGATCATACCTGCTTTATTCGACGGAATACTTCTGGACAGTGTGTCATCCTTCTGGTATATGTTGATGATATTATTATTACTGGTGATGATGTTTCTGGGACTGCGCAGGTCAAGATAGACCTTGGGAAGGCCTTCGATGTGAAGGATCTTGGATTTCTGCGATACTTTCTTGGGATTGAGGTTGCCCGTAGAAGCAGAGGTATTGTTCTTTCTCAGAGAAAGTATGTTTTGGATCTTCTTTCAGACACTGGGATGTTGGGGTGCAAACCGGCATCATCACCTATGATTCCAAACCTGAAGCTTACTGCTGAAGGTGAGGAGTTAAAAGATCCGACAGTTTATCAAAGATTGATAGGTAGACTTATCTACTTAGCCAATACTAGGCCGGACATTTCATTCGCAGTCAGCCGAGTTAGTCAGTTCATGCATAGGCCATGTCAGCCTCATCTTGATGCAGTTTATCATATTCTTCGGTACCTCAAGTCTTGTCCTGGACTTGGGTTGTTTTATGCATCAGGATCTCAGACCGGTTCTCTAGCATGTTATTCAGATTCAGATTATAGGGGAGCATATGATGGTCGATCTACTACGGGTTTCTGTGCTTTTCGAGGGACTCATCTTATCTCTTGGAAGAGCAAGAAGCAGGCAGTTGTCTCCCGCTCGTCCGCAGAGGCAGAGTATCGGGCATTGGCACTTGGCACATGTGAGATTATCTGGCTACGATCGATTCTTGACGAGTTGGATTTTTCAGTGACCTCTCCATCCACATTATATTGTGATAATCAATCTGTTATTCAGCTCGCTTCTGACTCTGTACTACATGAGAGAACGAAGCATATAGAGATCGATGTTCACTTTCTTCGGGAGAAGGTCAGCAGTGGTCTTGTTACTCCATCGTTTGTGGGGACCAGTGATCAAGTTACGGATGTTTTTACCAAACCTGTCACTCTGTCTATTCTTCGGGACTCCGTTGTCAAGCTTGGCTTAGTTGACATTTTTACGCCTAGCTTGAAGGAGAGTGTTGGAGTATAGATAGTCTAGGTTTATTAGGATTTCTTTTCCCTTTTTTACCCTTACTAAGATTTTTATATTTTGCCTAAACTACAAGGATGTTTAAGTCACTCTTTATTATTTTTGGATATATATACGGGGCTCTACTCTTAATTTGAGTATCCCTTTTTCACACACATTCATTCCAAGTGTGTCCAAGATATATAGGCCATGATACCATACGAAGCACCCCCAACAGACCATTTATACAAAAATAATTATGGTCCACATCATGAAGTTCAGATATTTTGTATTTGCAGATTCAAATGTAGACCATGAAAAAAATAGCAAGTTCCATTCCCCAAGAACTTTCTTACAAAAATCCTATCTCATTACATGAATCTTGTTCTTCGTTAGATGGGCCATGACAAAGGAGAGTATTTAAAAGCTTATTCTAACCATTTGCTAGTGGCCTGCTTTTGCCTCGCTAGAAAAACTTATATAGAAACTCTTCCCATTTCCATGAAATTGTCCAGTTTCCTATTATCCGACACTCATGTTACACAAATCCATACTCTTTTGAGGCCAAAAGTTGACTGACATAGTGTAGAATGAATGATTTTATTAATGTATTTCTGCGTAAAGTTAAAACCTTGAAGAAATACAGATAAACTTGAACAATCAGCAACTCAGAACTCAAATAGACACACCTGCAGGCTGAGCTAGTTTCCGATTTTGTGGAGACATCATTTCTTTCTTTAATTGAGTTAATATAGCCTCCATTGTATACTCCCGTTGCCAATCAGCGAGCATGGAAAAAAGACTTGGTTCCACCTGGCAATTTGGCCAACCATGAGCCTATTTTAAACCATATCATGCCAAAGAATTTTTGTCTGAGAGAGAGCACGTACCACACCAGTTTCATGATTAACGCAGCTCATGTTTATCCGGGTTTGGAACCTTACACTTGGCGGCTTATCTGGATAATCTTTATCACAGAATAACTTCAACTGATAGATGCGCCCTTCATGAACAGTCTGGCATGTAGCATCGACAAACAGGAAGAAAACAATTTTATTGTGTTACTAATACATTTATTAATAATGCTATAAGGAAGAAATTTAAACATCAAAGAAACTAATAGCAAAAAACCACATCAATATAATATATTGGAAATGAATTTTTCTTTCGTATATGTTTTGTAATTCTAATCACACTCAAAATGCCTAACAAAAAAACAGAGGACTTGAGTTAATATACTAACTAAAGAAATCATGAAAAACAGGAAGGTAATCAAAAATCAAAAAATGACAACATTTAAGAAAATAGAGAGGGAGTAAAAATTCAGTCAGCAGTTTTGAACACAGTACTGCCAGCATAAATGACTGTGGTAGTGAAATAAGATAATATTAGAGAGCAAAACAATACCATCTAAGGGGTATGGCGAAAGTGGACTATTACCAAGTTATCAGGAAGGCGACATTATCATCTGTGATTGCTAATTCATAGCAGTGGTAAGAAAAAATGGTGCCCTCAGGTACAATTGAGCAAACAAAATAGAAATTCTGATTTCAGAAACAAAAGGCTGACTCGTCAAAGTGCCATCAAACCAATATCTTCATTTGCTAGGAATTGTAAAATGAAGCAGTTTTACACCACCAAACTTGAAAGGATGGCAATCATTTGGATGGGTGGTCCACCGACCAGACTGATTTAGTTTCCAAACCTAAGTATTTCAGTAGTCACATATATTGCATTTCACCATAACAGTCCATCAGTCCCTATCAGGTTTACACGTGACTTTAGACTTCAGTCTCTAGTGTTTGTATCTGATTCACCCAAAGCACAAAATTTTGAATCTCTCACTCATTGCAATCAGGAATCTAAAGAGTATACTAACTACAAATACAAAATCAAAACCATTCCAACACTTAAGATGGGCCTGAGGCCCATCAAAACATCACTAACCTTTTAAAGATTAAAAGCAAATCAACATGGTAGGGAGTGCAGTTGATATATAAAAAATTTTACACAGAATAAAAAACTTGACATCAAAGGAAAGATGGAGAAAAGAAGACCAACATTAGGAGGACCAATTATTGTCCCAGTCCATGACTGCATGTATACATCATCAGCAACATCCATTCCATAGCTGACAGTTCCATCCCCAATTCCCTTTTCTCCTCTCTCGAGCTCTTCTAGTAACCTAAAATTCCTTGGAACTGGAAAATAACACATGTTTTGGTTAGTCATATACAAATGATCCATGTGAGATATGAGCATTATAACAAATCCTTCGGCATAACATTGGCTGGATCCATTATATATAGACTAATGAAGACTGCTATGTCCGTATGATCTGCAAACACGCATCTATGATTTCATGTAGAAATCACATACAGGCCCACTTATAATAGATCCCTCTCGATCATATTACCAATTTCACAAACACAAATCATATATGTTATGCAAAATAATAGAAGGGACAATATGCATTAAAACCTGGTGTAAGAATAGGATTTGTCTCAAACTGTCGGTTAGAAATGGCATTTACTTTGTATGTCATGGAAACAAGGTATCAAGTTAACAGAGAAGTAATACGCATTAATTCGCGGCCTAATGATTCTTAATACAACGGTTTGATAAGCACATTGTTAATTAGGGAAGAAAGAAACTTATCGAAGGGTGCAAAAGATTCTAATTCTTGCATTGGGCATAAATGGATCATGTCCCTAAATTCAATCTGAAAAATGCATTATTTATGTAGTACCTTTCTTTTAGCTCTATTTTCAATTTATCCACTGATATCAACAAAAATGAAGATAATTGCAAAAAACTGAGGATTATTGACAAGTGCAACACAAAGAGAGAGCTTTTGTCAGGCAAAAAATCTTAAATGCTCCAACAAAGTGCAGGCAGCTCCCTTTTATTACTCTTGGGAGGCTGCCTTCAGAACAAGGAAACCAAAATAGTAGCATGCTCACTCATAAAATGCCAGCAACATTAACATATTAAAGTTCACGTGCAACTGTGCTACCTAGCCTCATGGTAAATGATTTTAAGTAGTATTTATACCCAAAGTAGGCTTGAAGCATTAGCATCTTGCGCTGGGCCACTCTTTTTTCAATGTATGACCAATTCTTTTTTCAATGTATGACCATTGCCCCCCCCCTCCTTCTTCCTCGTTTTTACTTCACATACGAAACATATCCTTACACATGCCCACATGAACAATAATACAGTACCGTTGATTGAATATTTAATGGTCAAGCTATCACGCATAAAAAAGAATACATGCACCCACCAAGATGGAATTTACGAATAAGCATCTATCTTGTGGAGGCCAAAAAAACTTATATAACCTGTGATTTCTCTGAACTGTACTGTGCAGGAAGTCTATGAGGAGAAATTATGACATGGCTGCATCATACTAGATGTCATCTAAAACATTGGGCTTAACTCATAAGATGAAGGTGACAATTATTCAAACCCAACAAGCCAAGGAGCACCCACCCCCTTAGTAGGACTCTAAAATACTCTAATAGCAAACAAAGTGGAACCATTATTTCTGTTAAGAAATATAGGGTTATTTTGTTTATTAAGGGTAGAATAGTCCTTTACTTTCCCTGCCTTGTTTACCTTATATATAGTCTCTTTGTATTAAGGTTAACTTACTTTCTTGTATTTCAATTGAATTATGCAGTATCAATAAAACCCTAACCTCCTCTTTTCTTATCTCTTGTATTTCTTTAGATTGTTCAACATGGTATCCGAGCAAAATTTCATGGGACAAGGCTTAGTCTCAAACACAGTTTACGCGGATCCAACTTTTTGAGAAGGTATTTGTTTCGTTTAAGCAATCTGGTATTTGTTCCGTTTTTTTGTAATCTGGTATTTGTTCCGTTTTTTGCAATCTAGTTTTCTTTGTTTGTTGATTATGGCTATTGTAAGAGACGATTCGCTTCAGTCTGTAAGTGTGAGGTTGGATGGAAAGAATTATTCGTATTGGAATTATGTGATGAAAAATTTTCTTAAGGGTAAAAAGCTATGGGGATATGTTAGTGGAACTTCTGTGAAACCTAAGAATACTGATGCGGGTTATGTTGATTTAACAGATGTCTAGGAAGTAGACAATGCAAAAATTATTACTTGAATCAACAATTCTGTTGAGCATTCTATAGGTACGCAGTTGACAAAGTATGAGACAGCAAAGGAGGTTTGAGATCATCTGTAAAGGTTATTCACTCAATCAAATTTTGCAAAACAGTATCAATTGGAGCATGACATACGAGCTTTTCAGTAGAAGAATATGAGTATTCATGAGTTTTATTCTGCTATGACAGATCTTTGGGATCAATTGGCTCTTACAAAATCGACTGAATTAAAGGCATGTGGTGCCTATATTGCTCGTAGAGAGCAACAACGGTTGGTACAATTTTTAATGGCACTTCGTAGTCATTTTAAAGGACTTAGAGGTTTAATTTTGCATCGTTCATCACTTCCTTCTGTTGACTCAGTTGTCAGTGAGTTATTTGCTGAAGAGATACGTCTTAAGTCTTATTCTGACAAGGGAATTCTTTCTACTTCTGATCCTTCTGTGCTAGCAGTACCTTCTAAACTATTCTCTCATAATTAGAATAAGCCTTACACAAGGCCTACCTTCGACGAGTGCAGTTTCTATAAACATAAAGGTCATTGGAAGGCTCAATGTCCTAAGTTAAGACAGCAGAATCAATCGCAGCAGCATTCTCAAGCTTGGAAGTCTAGCAACCAATCACAATCTAATGCTCCTAGACCACCTCAGGATTACAAACCACCACAGTCTAATACTGCAGCAGTAGTTTCATCAAGTCCTTTCACCGATTCCAGTACCTTGGCTGAGCAATTTCAGAAGTTTCTCTCCTTACAGCCACAAGCTATGTCTGTTTCTTCTTCAGGTGGTCAGTTGCCTCATAGTTCTCCAGGTATGTCACATTCTGTATGGGTCTTGGATTCTGGTGCCTCACATCATATGTCTCCAGATTCTTCATCTTTTGCTTATATATCTCCTTCATCTTCTATTCTTGTTATGACTGCTGATGGCACTCCTATGCCTTTAGCAGGTGTTGGTTCTTTTGTCACACCTCACTTGTCTCTCCCTAATGTTTATCATATTCCAAAACTCACATTAAATCTTGCTTCTGTTGGTCAGTTATGTGATTCTGAAAATTTAGTCACCTTTTCCTCTTCTTCTTGTTATGTGCAGGATCTGCAGTCTCAGAAGCTGATTGGGACAGGCCGTAGGAAGGGGGGACTATATATTTTGGATGAGTTAAAAGTGTCAGTTGCTGCTGCTGCTACTAGTGTTGATTTATCTTCTTTTCGTTTGAGTCCTTCTTCTAGGTTTTATTTATGGCATTCTCGTTTAGGTCATGTTTCGTCTTCTCGTTTGAGATTTTTGGCATCCACAGGGGCTTTAGGAAATTTGAAAACTTGTGATATTTTTTATTGTAGTGGATGTAAACTGGCAAAATTTTCAGCTTTACCTTTTAATCGAAGTATTTCTGTTTCTTCTTCTCTATTTGATTTGATTCATTCTGATGTATGTGGACTTTCTCCTGTTGCCATAAAAGGAAAGTCTCAATATTATGTTTCTTTTATTGATGATCATACTTGTTATTGTTGAATTTATTTAATGAAACATCGTTCTGAATTCTTTTAGATATATACAACCTTTCGAGCTCTTGTCAAAACCCAACATTCTGTTGTTATCAAATGTTTTAGGTGTAATTTAGGTGGGGAATACACTTTTAATAAATTTGTTGAGTTGATTGCCTTAGATAGAACTATTCACCAAACTTCGTATACAGATACTCCTGAGCAAAATGGTGTTGCTGAAAGAAAACATAGGCACATTATTGAAACTGCTCGTTCTCTCTTGTTGTCTTCTTCTGTTCCTAGTGAGTTTTATGGTGAAGCTGGTCTTACTGCTGTAGGTTTGATTAATACAATTCCATCTTCTCATATTTCAGGTGTTTCTCCTTTCGAAAGTTGTATGGGTATGCCCCTGATTATTCTTCATTTAGAGTTTTTGGTTGTACTTGTTTCGTTCTTCGTCTTCATGTTGGACGCAACAAGCTGTCCACTCGATCTGCTATTTATGTCTTTCTTGGATATGGTGAAGGTAAAAAGGAGTATCGTTATTTTAATCCAATAACTCAAAAACTTTGTCTCATCATGTTATATTTCTTGAGCATATACCTTTCTTTTCTATTCCACCCACTACTTATAGCTTGACTAGATCTGATCTTATTCGCGTATAGATCCTTTTTCTGAGGATTCTGATAGTTTGTCATCTCAGGTTTCTAATACTTCAAATAGCAGCATTGATCATTCTACAGGTACTGACACTTTACTCTCTAGCACACCTGAAACTACCTCCTCTCTTATAGTCCCTCAAGCTTCGTCTGAGATTGTAGATCTACCTCTATGTCAATCCACACGCATTCGTAAGTCCACAAAGTTACTAGATTTTACTTATTCTTGTTATTTTTCATCTTTTACTTCATTTTTAGCTTCTATTCATTGTCTATCTGAGCCTTCTTCCTATAAAGAGGCAATTCTTGACCCTCTTTGGCAGCAAGTTATGGATGAGGAACTTTCTGCTTTGCATAAGACAGGTACTTGGGATTTGATTCCTCTACCTCCTGGTAAGAGTGTTGTTGGTTGTCGGTGGGTGTATAAAATTAAGACCAATTCTGATGGATCTGTTGAGCGATACAAAGCTAGGTTGGTTGCAAAAGGGTACTGTCAACAGTATAGTATGGATTATGAGGAGATATTTGCTCCTGTTACAAAAATGACTACTATTCGTACTCTTATTGCAGTTGTTTCAGTTCGTTAGTGGCATATCTCTCAACTTGATGTTAAAAATGCCTTCTTGAATGGGGATCTTCAAGAAGAAGTTTATATGGCTCCCCCTCCTGGTGTTTCACATGATTTTGGGTATGTTTGTAAGCTCAAGAAAGCGTTATATGGTCTCAAACAAGCACCTCGTGCTTGGTTTGAGAAATTTTCTGTTGTGATCTCTTCCCTTGGGTTTATTTCTAGTAGTCATGATTCTGCTCTTTTTGTTAAGTGCACTGATGCAGGTCATATCATTCTGTCTTTATATGTTGATGACATAATTATTACTGGTGATGATAGTAATGATATTTCAGTTTTGAAGACAGAGTTAGCTAGACAGTTTGAAATGAAGG